CGGCTCTAGACAACACTACCCCTACTACCAAAGGGGCACAGACAGAGGACAGGGTAGTTGCGGATATACCCTCGCAAGAGTCCCCACAGGTAAGAGACCAACACTTATCAAGGTCTCAACTAAACATAACTGCCGGCCGTGTTTCTCTTTGTTCCCAGAATTGGGCAAAACTACCCACAGATTCTATGGGTGTTAGAGAAGGTCAATGGGCACCACATTGAATTATGAACGTTCCCCGTGCAGAGGTACCCTCTTCGTCCCTTATACCTCTCAACTTTGGACACTCACCTCATAGAAGTGGAGCTGCGCAAACTACGCATGAAGGGCGCTATACAACCCATGTGCAAATAAGGGGGCTTCTTCAGCATCATGTTCCTCGCCCACAAGAAAACCGGGGATTTCAGACCAGTGATAAATTTAAGAGACCGGAACTCCCAGGTGATCTACTGCCACTTCAGATTGGTAGACGTACACTTACTAAGGGTCCTCCTTCAAGAAGGGGACTGGTTTACGCGTCTAGATTTCAAGGACACATACCAGTCGATCCCAATTCACGAAGTCAGCCGCCCCTTCATTCGGTTACTGTGGCACGGCTTCCCATGGCAATTCACTTGCCTCCCTCTCGGACTAAACTCCGCACCAGGGTACTTCACCAAAATGTTGAGACCAGGGGTAACACAGCTCAGAACCCGGGGGATCAGATCTTTCACTTACCCGGACGACATACTCTTAGTCTGCAGAACGAGAGAACTGGCCGTACAACATACCGACTATACGGTAGAATTGTTGGAGTCCCCGGGTTTCATCGTCAACAGAGCCACACCAGGAATGACCCCATGCAAGAAATTCAATTCATGGGCTTGGAGATAAACTCCAGGTCTTGCATACTCCCGTCAACCAAAGCGACGGCAAGCAGGAAAAAGATCCGCAGAGTACTCAAGCTCGACTCCATTCAGCTCCAACAACTGACGCGTATCGTTGGCCTACCCTCCTCACCAAGACAAGACATATTTCCAGGTCCCTGCTTTTTCGTGCCATGCAACGGTTGAGAGCCCGCTTCCTTCGATGGAGCACCACGTATAATCAGCCAGTTCCGCTGATGGACGATGTGCGCCAAGAACTTGGATGGTGGCACAACTGCATGCAAGCATGGAACGGTCGGTCCATCTCGGGCAACCACCCGAACTTCGTACCGGAATCGGACGTGAGCAGACTGTGATGGGGCACCACGGGTGGGGAGGCATCCACGGGAGGAACGTGGACAACCCAGGAAACTCTCGATGCATATCAACTGCCTGGAACTACTAACGGGGTCATTTTGCGATACGCAACCTAACGAAAGGACAATCCAATTGTTGGATACTTCTACGGATGGACAACATATCTGCAGTACGGTACATCAACAACTTTGAAGGGACTTGTTCACAAAAACTGGTGAATTTGACGAAGGAAATCTTCGTCTACTGCCTCCCACGCAAAAGTCACGATACGTGCAGAACATTTACCTGGGGGTCGAACCCTATCGCAGATTGGTACTCCCGGCACTGGAGAGACACCAGCGACTGGCAGTGGAACCCGCAGATATTCGCCTACCTGAACAAACGGAAAGGACCCTTCCTACTAGATCTGTTTACCCCACGCAGCAATCAATTACCGCAGTTACAGCTAGCTCCCAGACTGGAGTGCTTGGCGGTGGACGTTTTCAACCAACGCTGGCCATCACAGGGGGCTTATGCCTTTCCACCATTCGTTATGATTGCGAGAGTTCTCCACCACGTCCGGAGACGAGTAATAAGTAACCCTCCGGACGCCCCTCTGGCCGAACCACCCCTGGTTCCCAGAACTCCTCGAGATGTCCTACGAGGACCCAATTCTGCTGCCGAACGACTCCACCCTACTCAGGGACCCAGTGGGAAACCCACACCCTATGCTACTGGACAGACGCCTATCCTTGGTAACCTGCACTCTTTCAGGGGAACATGGTGTACCAACGTTTTATCAATAACAACTAAGAATCTTCTAAGACTCCTGGACCATTGTAACGCGAAAGAGCTATTTATCTGCAGGGCGATTTTGGACTAGTTGGGGCATGGGACGGGACCTGGATCCCTTTACTGCCCGTTTCCAAGATCATGAACTTCCTCTCGTCAACCTTCAAAGAAGGTAAGTCGTTATTGATCTCCTATCCGTTCTTCACCTGGGACCCCCAACTGTGTGTGGTCAAGGCTTGGCGGGAATATGTGGCGACAGCGGAGACGTTACGTCCCCTTAAGGACACATGACATGTGTGACGTGTGACATGTCATGATTCCCATTTATTCCAGAAGTTTGGTCCTTAAGGGTTAAGCAGCTTACAAAAAGTTAGGCTCAGTATGGTATATATTTATTCTTCATACTGCAACAAACCGTTGTTGCTTCTATATTGAAATTGTACCAGTGTACAATGCCACTTTAAAATTAATAAAGTTATTAAAACATTTTTTTTACAAAATCAGCAGTGCATATTCTTTAAAACCCTTAAACACATTAGTTTATTTATTAAACAGTAAATTGTGGTAAACTGAAAGGCAAAATGTTAGCTAAAACAGTAAAAATGTGAGTTTTAGCAAACCAATACTTTTTTCTTGATTTTATAAAATTCACAAGTTAAAACATAGCAGTTACTTTAAAACTGCAAGAGTACACAGAGATTAAACAAAAATAAATCTGGTTTATTTAATATTGTATTCTTATTTTGTATTGCATTAATGTTTAACTTATTTGAGTATTTCGTTGTTTTTTTAAAAGGGACACTGTAGGTTTACTGAAGTGGTTATGGTGGTATGCTACTGTGTTAACTTAGCATGAGATGGATACAGACCCAAGTTAGCGCTAATCCACATGTGCCTGTCAATCAAAAAAAAATAAATTAAAAAAATTATATAGATAGATAGATAGTGTGACCTTTAAGGGCAAAGCAACACAGTCCTCTAGGCCTAGGGTAACAGGTACAGAACAACAGTCTCTTATGCAAAAATGGTGTGGTTTATTTACATCGTGCACAAAAATCCATGCAGCAATCAGTTTGTTCAAAACAGAAAGGAAAGTCTACAAATAAAATCCTAGCTCAAATTTGAGCACTAACTAAACATAAAGTAATGTCCCTTTCCAGTAGCGTACACATGACCCATGGGGCCCCGGTGCGAAAATTGATCCGTGTCCCCCCCCCGCGCGGGCCGGGCCGCAACACATGGCGGTGGGCACCTGGTCGCAGGGGTTACAGGGCTGCGACCCCTGCGACCGCGGTATGTACGCCAGTGCATGCATATGCACACACACTTAAAGGACCACTCTAGGCACCCAGACCACTTCAGCTTAATGAAGTGGTCTGGGTGCCAGGTCGAGCTAGGGTTAACCCATTTTTTCATAAACATAGCAGTTTCAGAGAAACTGCTGTGTTTATGAATGGGTTAAGCCTTCCCCTATTTCCTCTAGTGGCTGTCCCATTGACAGCCGCTAGAGGCGCTTGCGTGCTTCTCACTGTGATTTTCACAGTGAGAGCACGCCAGCGTCCATAGGAAAGCATTATGAATGCTTTCCTATGTGACCGGCTGAATGCGTGCACAGCTCTTGCCGCGCGTGCGCATACAGCCGACGGGAGGAGAAGAGGAGGATCGGAGGAGGAGAGCTCTCCGCCCAGCGGTGGAAAAAGGTAAGTTTTACCCCTTTCCAGAGCCGGGCGGGAGGGGGTCCCTGAGGGTGGGGGCACCCTCAGGGCACTATAGTGCCAGAAAAACGAGTATGTTTTCCTGGCACTATAGTGGTCCTTTAAAGGACCACTACAGACACCCAGATCACATCAGCTCAATGAAGTTGTCTGGGTGTCAGGTCCCTCTAGTTTTAACCCTGCAGCTGAAAACATAGCAGTTTCAGAGTGCTGCTTTCCTATGGGCGGTTTGAATGCGTGCGTGGTCGCATTCAGAGCTGAGAGGCTGAGGGATCCTCAGCGCCAAGGGAGTCCGGCGCTGGAGAAAGGTAAGTGCTGAAGACACACAAACACACTTACAGTCGCATACACACTAGCTAACAGACACACACATTTACTGACAGAGATACAGTCAGCGACAGACATACATACACACTCACTTACAAAACATACACTCTCATTGACAAACACACACTCACTAACAGACATCAAACAGACTCACTAACACACACACACTCAGTAAGACACACACAGTAACACACTCACTGACAGTCACTAGCAGACACAAACACTAACACTCACTCTAACACTCACACTAACACTAACACTCACACATGATTTTTTTTTTTTAATATAATCCCCCCAGCCTCCTTACCTTTTGGAGTGCTGGGGGGATTCCCTGGGGTCAAGTGGTGGTGCTGCTGGGCTCCTGGGCGGCCGGTCACTGGGTGGGCGTGCTGGCAGGCAGGCGGGCGCGCGAGGGAGCACTCAGTGCTTCCTCTTCAGCTCCCTCGCGCGCCGCGTTGGGATGCCTGAAGATGACGTCATCTTCCGGCTCCGGTATCAGTGCGGTGCGCGAGGGAGCTGAAGAGGAAGAGTGCTCCCTCGCGCGCCCGCCTGCCTGCCCGACCGGCCACCCGGGGTCAGCAGGGCCAGCCTCAGGGGGAAGAGGCTGGCCCTGTGGCTACATACCGGGTCGCAGGGGCGGCCGGGCCCCCTGGTGGGTATGTACGCCAGTGTCCCTTTCTAAACCAGGGTAATAAACTACACAATTCAACAAAATAAACATTGGTTTCACCAACCTTTAGCACTTTGTTTGGTGCTGCTCAGCACAGACCTGCTCTCTCTGCAGGGCAGATTGTATATCCCCCTTTTTGCAATGAGACCTGCTTATTAAAGCCTCAGCAGTTTCTAATTGGGAAGGTGAATGAGTACAGGCTATGGAGGAGTCTGGGTCCTAAATACCTTCCTTCTATTACCCTCCCATAGACTCTGTCACAATATATATATATATATATATATATATATACACACACACCATACTCCACAACTCCCACTAGGTATCGATTTAAACACTGCCTTTTCATAGAAAAGGCAGTGTCTACTGTACTAAGACTGCAGGGATATGCTATAGACACCAGAACCACTACATTAAGATGTAGTGGTTTGGTGACTATAGTGTTAACTGTAAGACTGCAACACAGTAGCATACCACCATAACCACTTCAGTAAACCTACAGTGTCCCTTTAAAAAACAACGAAAGACTCAAATAAGTTAAACATTAATGCAATACAAGATAAGAATACAATATATATACACACCATACTCCACAACTCCCACTAGGTATCGATGTAAACACTGCCTTTTCATAGAAAAGGCAGTGTCTATTGTACTAAGACTGCAGGGATATATTATTTAATACATATTTAATTTGGATATGCATTTAGCAGTATGGTATATATATTTACATATGTAATATGGATATGCATTTAGCAGTATGATATATATATATATATATATATATATATATATGTATATATTACAGAGGCATGAGATTTTAAAGGTTAACTTAGCAATAAGATGGATACAGACCCAAGTTAGCGCTAAACCACATGTGCCTGTCAATCAAAACGTATACAAGGCACACGATCACCTAACCTTGGAGAGAACTATAGACAGTGCTAATTAAAGAATCTGCTGACCATAGTGCATTACATCATGGCAAGGAATAGGACGAATTTTGTAAACGTTTTCGGTAAATAGGAAAAGCTATATAATCAGTGAACGGATAGCTGGACACTGTCAATCAATCAATTTCACTTACACCTACAATGAAGCATCAGATAGACACACTCTAAGGTCATTATACACATAATTTCTGTTGGTAATATTATTTATTTTTCTTCCTGTAACTGAGAGTTTTTAATTAATATCTTTAACTTCCACCATTCAAGTCTATTTTGCAGTGTTTGTGTATGGTAATTTTGTATTTTGAATGCCATTTATAGCAAGCGAGTGAAGAAGCTGACAACTCTTACCCCTGACATATATTGGATAAGGAGAAGGACGGCTCTTGGTTTAACCCCTTAAGGACACATGACATGTATGACATCTCATGATTCCATTTTATTCCAGAAGTTTGGTCCTTAAAGGTCCACTATAGTGCCAGGAAAACATACTCGTTTTCCTGGCACTATAGTGCCCTGAGGGTGCCCCCACCCTCAGGGTCCCCCTCCCGCCCGGCTCTGGAAGGGGGAAACGGGTAAAAACTTACCTTTTTCCAGCGCTGGGCGGGGAGCTCTCCTCCTCCGTTCCTTCTCCTGGGCTGAATGCGCACGCTCGGCAAGAGCTGCGCGCGCATTCAGCCGGTCGCATAGGAAAGCATTTACAATGCTTTCCTATGGACGCTTGCATGCTCTCACTGTGAAAATCACAGTGAGAAGCATGCAAGCGCCTCTAGTGGCTGTCAATGAGACAGCCACTAGAGGCTTTGGGGGAAGGCTTAACCCATTAACAAACATAGCAGTTGAAACTGCTATGTTTATAAAAAAAATGGGTTAACCCTAGAAGGACCTGGCACCCAGAGCACTTCATTAAGCTGAAGTGGTCTGGGTGTCTAGAGTGGTCCTTTAAGGGGTTAAAGGAACACCAATACAAAACTCAGTGCTGTTAGGGACTGAGCTGTGTGCATACATAAAACAAGGGGTTGTGGTTAAGGAGGTAGTGTTATGGTGAAGCATTCTGCAAAGTTTTTTTGTTGTTGTTTTTTGTATAAACTACAAAGATTTAGTATACAGAAAAGTGCAATATGTTAATAAGACAAAATTTTATCAAAATGCATTAAATTTGTATTGGTGCCCAGAGTGTTCCTTTAAGTGGATATGGTAAATTTCATATTCATTACATAATCCCCATTGATAAACAAATAGTTGGGATGCAAGGATTAAGGTTGTGTTGTCCCTGGTAACGCTGCATTTTTTCAATTAACCCCCTCTCCTGAAAATTTGGAGCAAGCTGTTTTTATGTAATTTATCTAAATCCTGTGCCTGCTTGCGGTTTATTCAGCTAGCATGCATAGATAACCTGGTTCAGGACAAATATGGTTCACTATAATAGATATAGTGAATTAGGTCTGCATCAAGATCTCTCCAAGCATTATAAGTATTACAGCTCTGTGTAGTGGTTATGGTGCCGGGAGTTCCCTTGTGCCATTCCAGTGTGATTTGTCAAACTGCTTTACATAGGCCCCTAGGGCACCTGTGCCACTAAAAGCTCTATTCAGCCAAAGCTTGGTCAATACAAGACTGTGGTCTGCTTTGGTCAGAAGAGTAAATTGTACTCTCCTGCAAGGAAAATCTGGAAGTCTGGGCTGCTTCTAGGAAATTTTACAAATTATACCGAGACAGTGCATGACTCTAAAAGGAGTCAATAACTCTGTGCTGGAGCTTATCAGTTCTGGGCTAAGTTTAACAATTAAAAGAAAAGTAATACAAAACAATACTGCATACCTGACTTTACATCACAGCAAACAGAAGATAACAGACATTTTTTAGAAGAGTTCTGAACTTTTGACACCATCATAGCTCTTTAATGCAATATTTTTCACACCTGATTATAAATACCTAACTGACTACTCACATATTGCACATTGAACTATGCTAACTTTTGGAATTTCCACAGATAACAGATATAGTGTAATATACAGTCACTACTTTATGATTAATGTTTAATATTTGTTACAAGTTGAAAATAATGCGTTTTCATACATTTGCTTTCATTGCAGGTTGTCTTCCTTATGTGTTAAGGAATACTCCAAGCACCAAAACCACTACAGGTGCAGTAGTGGTTATGATGCTCAGAATTAGCTGGGAGCCCCCCCTGGTAATTTGTCAATCGGTTTCAGAATGGTTCTTACCTGGGTTCTTACCTGAATGCTGCCTACTCCTTCCCTTTGAATCTGAGAACAAGAAGAACTCTGCCTGAGCTAAGCCCATTACCTGAGTGATCAGCTGAAACCCTGCAAGGAGGCAGTGAGCAGCACCTAGGGGGAACACTCCTGGCAACATTACTCAACCGATAGCTATAGGCTCACTAATATAGTCAACAATTTTACATCTTATTATAAATCACATTGAATACCACAAAAATACTTTATTATATCGCAGTTATCTTACTCCTACCCGTATCAACAAAACTGTTCAAACTTACATTTTTCTCCTTCTTTTAATGACAACCACAACTATTTATTGCATATTTACATAATTCTTGTATTACTGCTACTGTACCAATTATATAATATATATATATATATATATATGTACTGATTTTTGTGCCAACTGTTTTCCCCTTCCCCTTCCCTCCCCTCCTTTTTGCCTTTTGTATCCTCTCCTCATCTCTTTTTTTTTCTATGACATATTACAAAATAAAAATAAAAAAATCAGGTTTTTAAAAAATATATATTTAATATACCAACAATCTTCCTCCAGGTATCCAAGAGGCTGCGGTGATACCTCAGCATGTAGTGAGACTGTAAGCATGTTTAAATACTATGGAAAAATATTTTATGGGTGTTAAACATTTGGACATCAAAGCATTTGGACTGCCCAATGACTACCGACCAATCAAACTTTAAAAATGTGTTAGTTACTTATATTTTACATGCGAACTAGTCTGCAAGAGTTTGTATTGCAAAAACCTTCCCTTTTTCAACCAAGCAGAACCTAAAATATAGACTACATGGTTGCACCTTTCCCCAAACAAATTTGCTCATCCTTTAACCCTATAAACAAACCACCCTTTTCCTCTATCTCCTTCCAAAACTATTTTTCTCTCGTTTGGTAATTCACAGCCACTTATGTATTGCATTTCCATATTATATTGTTCACTGAGCGGTTTATTTAATTGTTTTAAAAAGTTTATGTTGATTTTGTATTGCAGTCTCTTTTTTATACTGCCTTCAAAAATTATTAGTACATTTTTGTACGAAAATAAAATAAAAAAGTTTAAATTAACTTTTCTATACAATAAAAAAAGAAAAGTATCAGATGATACAAATATATCACATAATAAAACACAAAACACATACAAATTCAGATATTGACGTTAACAGGGTTATTCACTTGAGTGAGTATTAAATTCAAAGATAATTTTAAATTTAAAGGGACACTATAGTCACCAGAACAACTACAGCTTATTGAATTTGTTCTGGTGAATAGAATCATTACCTTCAGGCCTTTTGCTGTAAACACTGTGTTTTTATAGAAAAGGCAGTGTTTACATTACAGCCTATGGATACCTCCAATGGTGTCTAGAGGTGCTTCCTGGGGCAGTGCTGCACGCATTCAGTGCCTCCACCCTCTGCATACACTAAACTTTCCTCATAGAAATTCATTGATTTAATGTATCTCTATGAGGAGATGGTGATTGGCCAGGTCTGTGTTTGGCTTGTACTGGCTCTGGCCCCTGATCTGCCTCCTTGACATTATCAGCCAATATAATGCTTTCCTATGTGTAAGCAATGTGAATGACTCAGATCACCACTTCTGATGATGTCAGCAAAGCAGGCAGATCAGGGGCAAAGCCAGCAACAGTAGACTGGAATAAAGTAAGATTGTACTATGTTTAGGGAGGCAAGGCGGGACCAGATGGTGTTTTTAACATTATAGAGTCAGGAACACAGCTTTGTGTTTCCTTTAAGGCAAGAGTAGCCAAACTGAGAGCATAGCTGACTTATAGGATTTTTCCAGTTTGGTTATTTTGACCTTAAGTGTGCAATTCAGTTTGCATTCACCATGAATTCTTACTTCAGGAATAACTCTGTAATGTATGCAACCAAACTAAGTATGACTATATGAATATTATAGCCAGTATTCCACAATGGATGAAGTAGTGGATGCATAGACTAAAATTACAGTAGTGTTAGAAACTAAAACAATAATGAAAGTGAGTTTTGGGGGGTTAATCTACTAAACACTGAATTGTAGTGAACTGAAAATCGACCTTTAAAATGGAGGGTAAAATTCTATTTTTTTTTTTACTAAACTCTGGTTTGCATATGGAATAAAATGGAAAATGCACTACCATGATTGCATGTGCAGTGATGCATAAGCATTGAGAAAAGAGCATTTGCTGTTACAGTATTTTCCAATGTACTTATTCAAAAAGTAATTATTTTAGTTTAGTCCATGGCTAGCAAGGAAGTTTGGCAACTGTGCAAAGTGTACATAAAGGAATTTTTTATCGTTCCTTAAAAGTAAACATTACGGACGCAGCAGATACTTGATCCAAAGTCTTTTGGTGACGGAAGGCCACTTTACAGTATATTTGAAAAAAATCAACTATAAGAGATTCTTTCCACTATAAGAGGCACGTTTTTATCTCCACTGGCCACTGTGTGCTCCTCAAGGTCTGGAA